ATAATAACAATAATAACAATAACAATAATAACAATAATAATAACAACAATGATAACAATAACAATAATAATGATAACAATAATAATAATAATAACAGTAACAATAATAATAATGGTAACAATAACAATAATAACAATAAGAATAAATTTCTTCTTATTATTATTATTATTATTATTATTATTATTATTATTACTGATTCCGAAAAATCTCAAAATTAATTTATTATTATTGTCTTATTATTATTATTATTATTATTATTATTATTATTATTATATTATTATTATTATTATTATTATTATTATTATTATTATATTATTATTATTATTATTATTATTATTATTATTATTATTGTTATTATTATTATTATTATTATTATTATTATTATTATCACTGTAATCTATTGTTATTGTTGTTGTTATTGTTATTGTTGTTGTTATTATTATTGTTATTGTTATTAGATTCTTAGTATTACGATTATTATTATTATTACTATTATTAGCTGATTCCGAAAAATCTCAAAATTAATTTATTATTATTGTCTTATTATTATTATTATTATTATTATTATTATTATTATTATATTATTATTATTATTATTATTATTATTATTATTATTATATTATTATTATTATTATTATTATTATTATTATTATTGTTACTGTTACTATCATAACTATTTTTATTATTACTATAATAACAATAATAGCAATAATAAGAACAATAATAACAGTAACTATTACTATCAATGATACGATTATTACCATTATTATTATTATTAGTGCGCCTTAAAAATAGCGTTCTAGAAACTGGGCAAGACTTTGATGGCATTCATCATGATAAAACCTTTCAAAGACACAAGGAGAACTGTAGAAAATTCGGTGATTAAATTAAGAAGTTAAACACCAAAGCGCAAAAAAAATACCAATGTGATAGCCGTGTCAACAAGGATAACGACTCGGACAATAATTTTTTCAGGAGTTTGAACACAAAAACACGCGTACAAGAACTATACTTTTCTAAAGCCTTCAAGTTGCAGTTAGTTAAAAACTTTTGCCAAAAAATATTTTAGAAGAAAAAAAAAAATGAAAAACAGCGATGGAAACATACGGTTTCCAAATGGGAGATGGAAAACGGCCGCGGGTCCGCATGCAGTCTACATTTATGGTTTAAAGAATAAAAACGGACTATACGACAAGGGAGGTAAGGATGGATGCAGCCGATTTTCTGGCCTTGTCGTCGCTGCACCATATATCGACAATAATACTGCTTTTATGTATCGGCGGCAAAGACCGGCCGACAAACAACTAAATAACTAACTAACTGACTGACTGGTTGCAGAGCTCGGCTCGGCTGACTGGCTGGTTGGTTGGCTGGTTAGTTTCGTTCCCGTTAATGCTGGCTGCAGGCATCGCTTTGAGTTTGTTCCTAAAAGTAGTTCTCGTTATGCCTCTTCTACACTATCCGCAACAGCAAGGAAAGTTCATTGTTTTCCCAGCATCAACTCTTTCTCCCAACGCTCACATTACTCTCATCATCAACACGTTTGGAAGTTTTTTTAAACAATTATTATTGCAGGAAAGAGGCAACGTTAAAATTTTTTTATTTCCCGTTTATACCACCTTATCAGACACTGAAAACCTCACGGAGGTAATGTTTAATTAAGACAAGCTACTGCATTGAATGAAAGAAAAAGCTTGAGTTGATTATCGTTCGTTTTGGTTACTGAAATTTTTTCAGACATTTTGAACCGCATAAAGCTGCCTGTTTCCTTCTTTTCTTCATTTACCAAACACCTTACTTCACTCCTTTATCTTGTCATTAGCATATTTCCGCTTTAATTTGTACCCTACTCCATCTAGTTCTTCATCAAACATTAATAAAAAGAAAATTAACTTGACTTCGTTTCTCTAACTTTGCGTCGCCATTAAGGGAAACTTAAACGCATGCACTTTAAAAATGCGACAAAAATTATTTTTGAGGATGGTTTTTCATTAACCTTTATGACATAATCGAAAAAATTTTCGCTTAGCATCCATCCAAAAGCCCCAAGAAATTAGTAAAGCCTAATATCACGAAAATCTTGCAGTTTTAGCACCCCTGACGTAGGTGTGGATAGTGTAAATACAGTTTGTATAGAACTGACCACCAAGAAAAGACAGATAAGAGACAAAATTATCATCAGGTTGGAAGGTTCAACACAAAACTTCTTCCACTTGAGCCCTTACTTTCAGGACTGTCGCACGACAGCCAAAAAAACATTTTTAAATGCAAATATCAGTTGAAAAAATTTACTGATAAGTTTATCACAAACGACAGTGTTTCTCTTCTACTCAGTAAAACACAGCTACTGTCGTTGAGTAAAAAGCAAAATTCAAACAACCTTTGCAGAATAGATTTAAAAACTTCTTTATCGTACAAAAAAAAACACACGGACGAAAACAACAAAACATCCACCAAGCAATAAAAATAGGACTTAGTCAAATAACTGCAACACTGGTACGATAAGAAAAAATTCCAAAGCACCGTAATGAATATTGGAAAGAACTCGTCTTCTTCAACAAACCTATTCACTAAATTTCACTTCATCCTAACGACTAGCGAAATCCAGATGTTTTGAAAAATACAGCAAAACGGGAAACACTGCATATTACTCAAACTCTGAGCATTTTGGTCACTCTAAGAACACCCACAACAACGCTTGGCATAAAGACCAAGACAGTTTTTGATTGAGAACACAATAACTCCAATTTTCTGCAATTGACACGCAGAGCAAACCAAACCCCTCATATAGATTGTGCAGACAGTTTGATGGCAACAGAATCATCCTTTGCTGACTTGAGATCAAGAAAATGACAACAAAAAAATCCAACAAAGCTTACAAACCAGGCATGACAAAAAAAGCACTAACCATTCCAGCAGTTATATTGAGAGCGCAATGAAATGAAGTGAGCTTATATGCGCTCTGAAAAACGACTGCTTTGCCAGCTTCGTAACTGCAACGTCTTGAACCGAAGAAGTATTTTATATACTTCTTCGGTTGTATGTAATGTATGTATGTAAGAATTATTTCCGCTCTGATTTTACACAGTTTTTAAACTATTTCAAAAATGTAACCTTAAAGCACTAATAAGATGAAAACTGCTTTTCAGATAATTCATGTTTCATAATAGAATTGCACTCCCTAAAACCACTAGCAAAAAAGTATACCCCTCACATACTGAGCCGAAAACCACTCCATTTTTTTTAGGAAGACGTTGTCGAGGATTTCCTTAGAAGCATATCCAAAGATAATGAACAATTGAATCAACAGTTCATTGAATCACAAGTAGCTGAATAAACCGAAGAAAGTATTACAATCAATAACAAAACAAAAAACAATAAATTTGTACCACGCTCACGAGACTTAGTCAGTATTCTTAACTAGCAGATATTTACAAATTCCTAGACCAAACATAAAACGATATTCACGTCAATTTCTGCTGGTCATTCTTTGACTTAGCATTTTCATTCACAGTCATTCTCTGCAAATTTCCAAATATATGAAAGATACTTGACTAAAACTGGAAAGGCTCGTACTACTGTAATAAAAAGCCTAAATCTTGACGCGCTAAGAAGTTATTCCAAGTCAAAAAAAAAAGTAAACCTCAGGATCCTTGTTAGGCCTCCGCAACTCCTCTTCTTGAAAACTAAGCATATCATACTTGGCTAACATTTCAGCTATCAACGTTTTGTCTACCTCCTAAAAATAAGGAAAATAAATTTGAAATTTTTGGAAGTACAAAATCCACTGTCCTCAAATGCTCAACCTTTATCTACTTACTTTAATAACCTAAAACAAAAAAGCTGAACAAGCAAAGAACATCCATGAATAAAACATGTAATAAAACTAAAGTGAACAGCCAAAAAAATCCGTACATCTATTAGCACATTAAAAGCAACTTTCTAGAAAACAATAAACCTCATCTTCAGCGATATTCTCTCGAAGTGAACGTAGCACTAAAATAACTCGCCTTTTCTCCTCCCGTAATTTCTTCAACAAATCTACGGTCTGTTTTTCCTTCTAAAACTCAATAAAAACAAACTTCAATTGTTCAAAACATATTAATTTCAGACCGTGCTACTCAGCTGGATCTTTATATAATTTAAAACAAAGAATAACCTGAGTTTGCTTCGTACAATCGTTCCCCTGAGCCTTTAACATATAGTAGTCTGCCGTAACCTCAGCTAACATTTTACTCTGTAATCCCTTAAAAACACACACTGAAACAACAACAAAGGGTTAAAAACTAAAATGAGCCACAAATTGTACAGGTACAATCTCTTGAGATTACGGTCTCCCAGTTTACGCGAGAAAGTTGTTTAAAACGACTAAAACTTTGAAAAAAATTTGGAAAAAATGCCTTCAAAATGAAGTTTAAAATGAGCAAACTCAAAAGACACACCTATGAAAAAAATCATAAAGAAAAATTGAACTCAAACCTCATCAAACCCTGAACCTTCCTTTAAATTTTTCAAAGTAAGCTGTATTTTTTCTTTATTCTTCCTTATCGTCTCCAGCTGATCATTAACTGGTATCTGCTTACAACGCTAAAGAAAATCACGTCGTGAAAATTTAAGCAGTAGTAAAAGTACTAAGAATCCTAAAAAGAGAAACTAAAACCTGTAAACATTGGGCCGACGAATTATAATTACTCGGTGGAGTAATATAGCATGACCCGCTTTGAAGCTGCCTAATCTCCAAAATTGAAATACACACTGAAAAACATCGGAACTAGAAGACCCCTGAGATACGCAAGAATAACACTTTAAAAACGAAAACAAAAAATGTCCGACTACTAGTAAACAATAGAAACAATTGAAGGTTTTTAAACATCAAAGACACCCATAGTGCTTACTGTTTAAAAGTGCAAGGTCGCTCCTCTTTGACGAATTATGACTGGAAAGCTAAAACATAAAATATTGAACAAAACTTCAAATCAAGCCACTACTTTTTTAAAACACTAAAAAAACCTTGCCAGGACTGTTTGCACACTTGCCACTATAGACTTAACAAACTGTAGAGAGTAAAGATCTAAAAATAAGCACTAAAAATATTATGGAAGTATCAACAGAATTTTTAATTAACACCTGACAAAGTTTCCTATTCTGCATGACTTTCAAAAACTCGTCTTCTTGGGCACACAACATATAGTAATTGGCCCTCAGTTCCGCCATTAATGTCTTGTCCAGTTCCTGAAAAATAAAGCAGATAAGTGAGGCCAAAAAATGTTCAAGAAAAATCATTCCAACTTGACAGATTAAGCACCTCTAACCAAAAATATTTCCTTTAGGCTGCAAACAACTGCGTCCAGAATGATACTAAATGCGAGAAAGTTGGAAGAATAATATACAGCTATTCAAAGGATCTTAAAAAGAGGAGCTCTGACACTTTTCTAATTTAGTGGCGCCATATACAATGTGCCTCCAGTCGATGTGTCTTAACAGTTCTCGCTGACCACACCAAGAAGTCTGAAAGGGTATCATTTTCCCACTTAAAAGAAGCGGTGTTGTTGAAAATAGCCAAGCCTCCCAATGTTAATAAAAATTTTTTTTAGAACTGAAAGCCTCCAGTGCCAGCGACTGGCTTTTCTCAAAGAATTTCAAAAAAGACCAACAGGCTGAAGATGGCGACCCATCGAGCCGTTCATCCGACTGTTCCCTTGCAATATGTGAAAGTCAAAATTTTCATTTTTTGGCCAAACAATTCGAAACTTATTAGCCACGTTCAGTCATGAATTTCTTGTGGCGCCTCCAAACTAGAGAAGTCCCAGTTTTATTACCGGCACATTAACTTAAAAACGATACAGAATCATCCGCCAAAGGTTAGCACTGCACAAGTGGTTACCTTCTATTAAATTAATTACCTAACTACCACCCATAACGAAGAAACAGTAGTTATTAAAAATAACACCACAGTGAAAGAACAGTTGCAAAGTATAACACCTTGCAAATAAAACGCCAACCACAACAAAAGGTATAACACATCAAAGTTAGATTTAAAATGTGTTGAACCCGCCACAACCCTACTTCTTTTCTGAAAATGTGTTCAACTGAAGCAGATATTTGGGCCATTTAGTAAGCTATAAAATCAAAATAAACTAACTTCGTGTTCCTTCATTTCATCCTTGATCTTGTACAAAGTTGAAAAAATTTTTTCTTTATTCTCCCGTAACTTCGCCATACGACCTAATAAACTTTTTCCAAGGGCGTGCTAGAACAGTGTTGAAGAATAAAAATTTCAACTATTACGCTATTACTGATCGTTATAATAACATTCCAGCTTCATCATAACGTATGAATAAAAAAATTAAAATGTTATCAATCAGTTTCGATATATCAAAACTATACGAATCACAGAAAAATGGATCAAACATAAAGATTAACTATACAAAATCTACCGTATTGTGCAGAGATTGTGATAAAGCAGAATTGGAAGTAGGCGAATTACTAGCCATTCGTAAGTAGCAAATTATACAACAATTAAATGAAGAAACAATCCGATTAAATAAACTGAAACAATAATAAGCTTTTGTTGGAGAAACTTTCAAATAAATTGAATAAACTCAGTGATGTTTGCGTTTAATGCGATCAACCAAGGAATCGGATACACCACTGAAATCCATTAAGCAACTTAAACAGCGGATTCCTACTACCATTGCCTTCGAATCGCTACAACCATTTAACAGCAACATTGAACAGAAAGCAGGTTGAGAAGAAGCTAAAGCCAAAGGAAGAGCAACATTGATCAAGACGGTCAGCTGTTGCCGAAACGCTAAAATGCTAAAGTTCAGCCGGGATTCAGCTTCCCGGCAGTTGCAGCCTAATATTTGATTTGCTGATTTATGGCTTTTCCACAGCTGATTTACACTTTTTTAAAGTGCGTACAGCAAAACTTTCGAAGCACTGTATGCCACTCACCTATATTTGAAACCTTCATTGCTTTAAATTTTCTAAAAACATGTTTGGAAGATCGGCAGGCCCAGTCGACCGACTTGCAAAACAGAAGGCTAAGTGTGATACTATATTAACAGAAAAACCAAATTTCAGTCCGATTTTCTGGATAAGTAATTTTTTAAACTGTATTGGATTTATGGACTAATCCACTGCGATTACATTTCCAGTTACAAATATCCATTTGAGTTAACCACTCCCGTAAGAACTTTGGTCTTTTTTTCACTTTTCATCTGTCGCCACCGATCCCACACAGAACCCACTTTGAAATTTGTTTTTTCAAAACATGAAATTTTGCTCAAGTTACTTACATTTTTAGCAAAAGGAAAAAATGCTAACTCTTCTACTTTCGCTTTTAAAATTCATTTTTAAACTAACTTTATTCTCCTGCATTGAAACTGAACTGTACAAGTTATTTCAATCACGGTATCAAAAGAAATTAGTATATACATTGAAATACTGATTTATAAAAACATTTCTTATATACCAATATTTCATGCTTTCTGGTAAGACCTAATAAATAACTTCCTTCCGTTTCCAAACAATTATTCCAGATAAGAGTCGAGAGGAACCGAAAAAAAAAAAGAAAAAAAATAGCACAAGAATTCTTTTTTTTTTAAAGTATCTTAACACTAGAAGCTTGACTAAAAAAATCACTTTTGTTTTCTTAAGTTGAAGGTAATTAAAATTAACGGAAATTCGTTTTTGAAAAACTGCACATATTCTATACAAACTGTTGATGGTTTGCAATCAAAACAGCTACATATATACAACTTTATTGTTTTTCATCTGTACCAGCAGCAAGTACTAAAATTTCTAATAACCTTAATAAATAACCGAAGAAAAGGAGAAAGAGGAAGTAACGAAGAAACAGAAAACAATTTATCAATTTATTATTTTCTTTTTTATTTGCACAAGTTTTCTTTTTGCTTTTTTATTTTCTTATTCCCATATCCCACAGGAAACCTGATCCTTCAAAAATAGGTGGAGCAAAACAAATACGAAAAAAAAAAACTAAACAAAATCCCATAGTAACTTAACTCCTTGACCGTCGCAGTAGAGCAACAAAAAGATTCAGGAAGATTCAAAAAATCTCATTTTGCTTCCGTCGTTTCTGCCTCCTCAAGTGCTTCTAGAAGATCTAGTTTAGCGGCTCTTAGGTCGGCCAATTTTTGTCGTGCACTATCAATTCGTTCCATCGTCTAGAAAATGAAATTGAATTCCATATAGAGTATAAACGTAGGACACTTGGTGATACCCATTTCAAACACCCATTAGCGCTATATAAATACTCTTCAAAACTGGAAAGCCAAAACAGAAAAAGTGAAAGACACAAACTATACTTCATCACATTCTTTTTTTAAAGCTTCTGTCAATTTTTTGTTTCTTTCTTGAACAGACTGCCAAAAAACGCTGCTGTCTACATCCGCACTACGATCGCAACCTTCTTTTACACAGTTGGAGAAACGAATTTCAGTTTCCGTAGTAGCGTCTTTTTTACCAATACCCATCTAAAGAAAAAACTCGTATGACATCTTAAGCCTCACAAACCGTTAAAGTACAAAAAAATGAGCTCATTCATTTTGAGTCCAACAAGAAATTTAAAAAACTTGCTCAATCTTAACAATCTGTAGTTATAGTCTGAAAGAAATTTAACACTTTGCACTTTCAGATCATATTAAGACAATTCAGTTTAGCGGTTCAGAAAAGACAAGAAAAACAAAAAATCCTAGAACTTACAAGTTACTATTTTACTCCAGAGAAGTCGAGATAATTCCTACACTTTAGAATTTTCTTGGCTACTTCATGCAACAAGTTCTGTAGTGTTCAACGTCATGTCTCCCCATTCTCAGATAAATCACACTTTTTGTGTTTTTTTTTACGACCCATGGTACACAGTTACCTCATCCTTAGATTCTCTTGGCGAAAATTCTGAATCTACTTAATTTGTCAGTTTGTCTGCATTTTGCAACACTAGCCTTAAAAAGCTAAGTCAAAATTAATATCGTAACCCACAATGCACGACTCTATTGATTTACAGTGCTGTACTTTTAGGCAGCCAAAAAAAAAGTATTAATAGCATTAAGGCTAACAGTTATTTAAGATTCAAGTGTTTACTATAAAAAGTTATTTAAAAAAGTGAAAACGATGTCAGTTCCATATTCAGGACCCTTTAATTCAATTTGTAAAACCACTAGCACTTCTATTTCTTTCAAACTATAGTTTTTACCTATTTTACATAAAGGCGAGACGTTGACAGGCTGTTTACGGTGTTGTATTATTGCTCCTTTGGTTGCGGGGTAAAAATATATATAACCAGTGTGAACGTTAACGGGAGACCAGTTAATTCAGAAAACTATAACTATATATATAAATAAGTCAAATTTACTATACATAAACCATTGCCGCCGAAAATTTTGTCCGAAGGAATCTATCCGTTACAAAGATCAGTAGTTTTTTTCTTAATGTGCTTAACCTGCAAGTTTATCTTTTACTTCTTCATTCTTCGCATCTAAGATTCCTGAGCGCTCTTAATTAAAATCACATAATTTCAGGTAAAACTGTCCAAGCCTTCTCCAATTTTTAACAGCCTAATATCCGGAAGCATTTCTTTACCAAAAACGACATATTTACATGATGTTACAAGCCGTTCCTAATGGTGGAAGCATAATGTAATAGTTTATGAGATTACTTGCAAGTGTTACTTCACCAACTTATTTCTACAGCCCATTACAGAAATTCCAGCTAAGCACTGCGGCAGAACTTCTACAACAGAAGTTTATTTCTGGAAGTAACGGTAAATGTTTATTGTTGAGATAGTGTATTGCTTTGCTGTCCTCAGTTTCACTGTGAGACCAAAACGCTGAAACATAAATCAAAAAGCCAGAGCGGCTTTCCCGGCAACTTATTTTTCCGCTCATCTTGCATGTTCAAAAAAAACTTTCTTTTTCCGCATAATTCTAGATAAAATATGCAGCTGGCGCTTCTAGGCTAAGGGAAGATGAACCTTCAAGATACATGAAATTACAATCGCATCAAAACAACACACGTATTATTACACCATCCGTAAATGAGGGCAAATCTGTTAGGGGAAAAAACATCAACACATAATGGACTCTTAAAAAGTGAAGAAAAAGTGTTTAGAATTTTCCAAAATTATGCTAGATGTGTTCACACCCGAAAGATCAAAATAAAACGAGTTAAAAGCAATTATATAGTACCTG